GGAGACAGATACCAAGAACCGCACTTCCCTAACTCTCTCTGTCATTCTGGGTTTGGGATGGTTGAAAAGGGCCAAGAAGTCTCAGGAATAAACTGACAGATCCCTTAGCTTTTTTGTCCTATTCTCCTGGACTCAAGTCCCCACGCAGCTGAGAAACCAGACGAAAGCAGTGGAATTTTTGCTTATTGCTAAAAGTACAAGTGAGATGTCTGACTACACCCTGTTTTTCCATCCACAGAGAACTAGTAAACATATTTTAATTTTAAACTTAACTATAGCTCATCTTCAACGCTCCCTGAGATTCGGAACTGAAGAATTACTTCAGTGTTACAAAACACGCACGTGAAGAACAAAAGCTTTTGAAATACTTTTACCAGTTCACCCCAGGAAAATTAAAAAAAACCAAACCCACAACCAATTTCTCAGTAAACTGGGGTTCATCCTTAGCTACAAGGCAGAAAGCGTACACCTAGAGTTGGGGGCTAGAAAAGCAGAGGGAAAAGCAATTACATTACAAGGGTCAGAGAACAAATATATTTGTGGTACGAAAACAGTCCTAAAAAGTAACATAAAAGGTCCTTCCTCATCCTTCAAAAGTTCTTCAGAAACCAGCAATGAAGAAGGTGGAACACAGATCTGCAGACAAAACAAGAGTTTGGAAAGTCTACCAAGTCGCTAATGACATTTATTACTCTCTCAGCAATTCCTGTTTCTCAGCTCCATCTGCATGAATGGGAACACAGAGCTACGCTTGTTTTGCCTATGCTGCTGAGAAACAAGACAAATTAACAGTGCTCTGTCTGCAGCTGCCTTGCATCTCCCTGACCGAAGGAGCCGATTCACCCATCTACCCGGACACAGTCAGACCAGCCCTACAGCAGACCGCAGCGTTGGCCCCATTGGCCAGAGCTTAGTCAATGAAACACTTGCAGAGCACAGATGATCTAGATTTGATGCTGAAAGACAGCCATACCTTGAGTTTTCTATAGCTCCTAAAATCTCAGAGATGGATTGACGGCAGGCAGGTTCAAGCTGGCATAGCCATGAAGTTTTAGAACTGCCTAACAAGAGTAAGAAAAATAAACACTGGGAAAAGATCTTTCTGCGAAGAGTATTTCCAAGAAAGCTTTTTAATTCTTCTACTTGTTTTCAAGCTGAAAAACCTTCCTATTATCACTAGTTGTTCCACTAACTGCAGCAGCACAAGGGTACCAAAACAGTCTGGGCTCTGACCAGCTATTCTTCTCTTTGAAACACAGCACTGTATAATCCTGCTCTGAGCAAGTTTAGACAGCATGGTGGGAAAAACACTGCTGGTTGCTGGCACCTTGCCTAATGTAAGCATTCCTGCTGTTACCCTCAAAAACAGTAAGAATTTTTTTCAGTGACAAGTTCTGTACAGAGAACTAAAAAACTTCTCTCTGGGTTTCATTGCACTGCAAAAATTTCACAAGAATCTGATTTTCCAAAATAGGAATTGAATTATAATTTTCATCCAACTGCAGCACAGTTGCTTTAGTATTTTTGTTGCTGCAACCATTGTCTCAGAAAACCATAGAAAGATAAACCAAGTAAGATGAAAGAATCAATCCCAGAAAGAGAGGGCTGTGCAAGTGCAGACAGTGTGGAGAAAGAAGAATCAGCATGACCTTTATGGAAGGGCATAGAAGAGATGAGCATCAGTCCTTGGAATTAGTGAATCACCCTGGGCTCGCTAGTGTCCATCATTGTGGTATCTGAATACTTGGGCAGAGGTCACTGATCAAAGCAGGCACGTTCAAGGAGGAAAAAAAGACAGCAAAGTGCAGTAAAAATGCTAGAGTTTGCTGAAGATCAGATTTAAATCTCATTGAACACCTAAGCTTTGCTACAGACAAAAATGAAGGAACCCAGAATTTCTGTATGAAAGCTGACACTTGAAATGTGCCTGGACCTGGACTGGAGGCATTACAAAATCCAGAATTACCTAAATCATTTAACTCTGATCCATTGTAACTGTCTGAGAATAGCTACTGCAGGAGGATCCTCCTCCTCCTTTTCACAGTGAGCTCAGGATTTCCAGAAGGAAGGAAGATATGGTTCTCCCACAATTATCACCACCATCTTCTGTAGCCCACTTTCAGCAGGTGACCCGCGGTATCTCAAACACTTGATCAAAGTTGACAAGGCAAAGCATGCATCTCAGAACATCTTCCTCTTACTGTTTAATTTGGGTTTGTGGTCTTCAAAACTGCAGTAATCCTCTGAGGGTTTAGATCTATGCTTATGGCAAGTGTGGAGGAAGAAAAATCAAAAAGGACATCGTTGGACAGATTTGTAGCCAAGTGCTGAGGAACAAGGAAATAAGCCTTTTCCTGAGGAAACGCTGAATTATTGAACTGAAAACCGCTTTGAATTGCAAGACAGATACAAAAATGCTACATTTAACTACTTGGAGAAAAACCCGTAACAGCCTGAAGCACCTCAGACACGTACCTCACTAGCAGCAGACTGGCTTGTGACATAGGTTGTCCCAGGACTGAAGTTATTCCCATCATTCAGCATGACAGCAAGCTCAGAGAGATGAACACTACCTGTGTGGTCAAGCATGCATGCTTTATGCATACCAAATGTAATTTCTGGCTTGCACCAACACAAATACCAGAAATCACAGACAAAGGTTGCAAGTGCCGACATACCAGGATTTGGAAAAGCAACCCCTAGCCTTCGTTAGTCTTTTTAGAAAATAATTAATGGCAGCCTGCAATCACTATTACTTTTTCTAAGATGCCATTCTTCTAAAGGGCAGGGAACTCAAGCACGCTTCATTGCTTTCTCCTTCAGCTACTGCTGACAGACGAGGTTCACTGTCCTACCCGTCAGCCATCTCCTCCCAACCTTGCTAAGGATTCAAGGGCCAGTGAGATTAGTTGTCTGCTAACAGATGTCCAGAGTTCCTCTCTCACATGGCAAGAATGCTGCGTAGAAATTTTATTTTTGTGGCTAATCACTGTTTTTTACGGGGTTGTGCTTTAAAAGAGATGTTATAAATATAAAGAATTTAACGACCACTGCGGGCCACCCAAGACTGTGAGCTCCAAGCCAGAAAAGAGTGCCCATCTCAGAAGACATGTAAGAAGAGGCAGGTCAAAAAAAGCTGATGGGCTAATGTAGAGACACAAAGACTATAAAAGCAAGTGCTGGCACTCACTACTACTTTTGAGGCATACTGCATTACTTAATTGCTGCTTGTCAGCCAGTTCTTGCCCTTCTGGAAGCATATTTATCCCATTTATATGGGGGCAAAATTTTCTTGAGTTATCACAAAGGATTTCAGACTAGCATGTTATGATGCTGGAAGACAAGGAGAAAAGCAAGAGAAAACAGAGAAGGATAAAGGAGCACATACACCCCGCTCCAATCAGAACAGGGATTTCAGGGGCAAGATACACAAAACTGCAGATCCCCCATTGCTCGCTGCAGGTCAGAAGTCTGTGCCTGCAGACCAGGACCACACAGGCTCCAGCTCCAGTGACTTGTGAAAATAATCTCCCCAGGAGAAAGAAAACATACACGTATTAACCACTTAGAAAGAGACTTTCAAAGGCTCTTGATATCCAGCTGGTCTTGATTCATATTGACTTCAACAAAATAATCTTGGACCAATGGTGAGCAGTCTGAAAAATCCCCTCTATAACTTGCCATTGAGGTATGAAAATAAGTGGTGTAAAAGGGATTGTTAAAAAAAAAAAGATGACAAATTAAAAATGAAAGGTTAAAATAAAATTTGGCTTCAGGCCATAAACTAGGGGGAAACTAACACTAAAGATAGTTAAATGACTGGAAGGAGAACGCAACAGGAGGTATTATGAAAAAAAGCTGATAGCTTTTAAGAAAGGATTTGTATAGATAGCTGGAGAAATAAATTCCGTATGTGATAGAAGTGCAATTGAGAAATTAAATAAATGGAAAATAAGGATGACTAAGTAGTAGTTAACATGCCCCTTCTCAGTTGTATACTATTATCACATCTATTTTTAATGTCTCTTCAGCTGTCTGCAATTGTCATGTTTTTTTCAGAACTTGTTCCAATGCTCTTTGATACTGAATTAGCTGTTTTTTACCCTCCAATGCTTACAACCGCATCTTTTTCTTACTCAACACTCCCCTTCTCTGACAATGTTATTCCATTGTCTCCGTTTTTCATCTCTCCTTATATGTTGACTCCCCAGTTTCTGAGCCTTCCAACTACCCTTGTTCGTCTTTTTTCTGGAGCTCTTTTGGTTGAATCCTAGCATGTTTCTTTTCTTCTTTTCTAAAGATATAAGCATGTTTTATATCATATCTGGCTACAGTACACATTGTTACCCCTTCAGAAGGGCATTGAACAGCTATAGCAGTGTTCGTGTCGGAAAGAGTAAGCTAAACTAAGGGAAAAAAGAAAGTTCTTTTTGGCTTTTGCTTTCTGGTTCTTAAAAAAGAACCCAAACATTTAAACTCTCCCCTTTTCCTTTTTATCGTTAAATAACACAATCTTTCCATGAGCAGCTGAATATTCAAACAATAACAGGCATCAGAAGCATTCGTGATTCTAGAGCTCAGGATGTGTTGAAGGAGAAGTGGTAACACGAGATTTAATAATACTGAAAAAATACAAAAGTTCTAACGTGATGTATGGGCTACTGAGGGAACCTGACTTTTTCTTTCTTTTTAACCTTACAAGTATGCCTGTTCCTTAACTTTATAGCCAATGATGCTCCATATTAACTTGGGGGCACTTTTTAATTTATTAAAAAAAAAAAACCAGTTCTAAACATGTTTCAGACAATCAAATTCACCATTGTTTGATGCCTCAGATCATTCAGCTTTATCATTAAAAGTTCAGTCTTTAATTTCTCTACTTTAGTACAATTCTCTTTATCTTCTGTATGCAAAGCCAGTGGTGTAGTTGAATTGTAATTAACGATGCTCTTTGGAACCTTACTTTCAAAATTCAGGCTTCTACCACACAATAAGCTTACCTTCAGCTGTGCCCGAGATACCATCAGCTTTGAAATTGCTCGTGCTTTTCTTCCTGCGGTGTTTCTTTCTGTTGGCGTGAGGTGAAGGAGGTGGATCGAGTTTGGGGCTTGTCGTACTGGATATACTTGGGCTTGAACACACAGAATCTCCTAATCCAGTATCTGCAGTTGGGGGGGGGGGGGGGGGGGGGAGGAGGGAGAAGGAAAGAAAAATAAAAATACTGCATAATTTAAATTAATGATTGCCTGAATCCAAGATACAACCCACTGCTGTCTGTTAAGCAGCTGACTTCTTGAGCTTATTGACTTCCAAAGCAGAGCTTCCTAACAGTATCCGTTACTTTTTCAAAAAAGTACAAAAAAGCAACTTGGCTGAAGTTCCGATTCAAGTCCTATTAAATCAACAGGACTCTGAAGCAATTTTAGAAGCAGGCCATCTTGAATGCACTTTATTACTTCCAATTGCTGCTTCTTACAAAGATCTTACTGATCCTCATATTAACTCATGTCATGCTAAGACATTTTAATATGCAATGGAACAGAGATACCCCAACACTGGCTGAATCCTACTGACCTTCCTTAATACAAGAGACAGACACATATAGAAAAGGTGGTGATGGCAATAAAGGTGGGAAAACAAGGTAACAAATGCATGCCTGGTGCAATTAATATTGTGTGATAAAGGGTCACTTACTACCTGCTCCCCATGAAAAAAAAATAATCCCATGTTTCGTGTGTTTCATTTCCCACTGTAGTAGCTATGGTAGCATAACATGCAACAATTTTAAGAACTGCTGACAGAGTAATTTTCTACCCTCTCCCACCAATTAGCTCACTCAACCAAATCAAAATTAAAGGTCGATGACACCCCTCTCTCATAAACAGACCCACAGTCTATTTCTGGTCCATGTAATGGCTCGTAATACGTGAATTTCTTCTCTTTGAGTAGTTCTTCTCTTTTTCAGTTAAGAAATATCTGATACTAATATCTAAGAAAAGTTTAGCAATGAGGATGTATTTGAAATTTCACTCTCCATCTGGGTCCTTTCGCATAGGAAATACTCAAGTAACCTTAAACCAGTATTTTTCCCCAAGGTTGGCAATATGATTTTAGTTTAATTGCAACCAATCTTTTAGTTATGATTAGTGCTAAATGCATTTCTGTTTTGTTGGTTTGGTTTTGATTATAAAATTTAACATAACATCTTACACTTTTCTTTAAGTGCTTGCTATCGTGTAAAGTGAAGCTGTTTCCAGAACCTTGGTTAGATACTGAACTGCACTGAAGATCAATTAATATGTTAGAAAAATATAAAGCCAAAGATTACATAAAAAGTAGCTCTTGATAGTCAAATCCCCATACAACTGCCTATTTGACAAAGAAACCCTTTTTTTTTTTCTTCTCGTAAAGTTTACTTACTAATTACCTGCTAAGCACAGTTACGCTCAAAGTTATTAGTGGGGGATAAATTATGTAGCTAATTGCCCGGCAATAAAGACCAAATCAAACATGAGCTTTATATTAAGGATGTTTGTTCTTTTCCCTCTGTCCACTCTTTTGAAACCAATCATCAAATATTTAACCACAAATGCAATAATGGAAATGTATTTATTGTGTATCTGTGTAGGAGATTTTAAGTATTTGACCCAGAAATGCTCAAAGCGGCTATCCCGCAAGGGTTTGCTGTCTCTCCAGGTGAAGAGGAAGGCAAACCCTGGAGAGAATCCACGCCAGTGCTCAGCATGCTCTTGGCAAAGGGGACACGGGTAGCTTTGGCTCCCTTGACACTGACAGAAGAGAAGCTGCCAAAGAGGATGCCAGCAGTACAGAGGCATGGCCAAGGATGCAAGTTGGTTACTGCTAGCTCTAAATATTTACCTCCAGTTTGAGACTTAAGAAGGTTTGCTATGTTGGGTGCTTAAAAAAATGAAGGAAAAAAAAAACCCAAACCCACAAAACCCCCCTCCTTTGCAGCAATGACATGAAAATTGCCATGGTGAGACAGGCCAGCCACAGAGCCGGGCACCGGCAAGGCAGGGGGCTGGCTGTGGCGGCAAGGTCTGCCACGGGGCACCAAAAATGCACCTAAATGACTTTTGTTTGCTTGCGAAAATCTAGAAAATTCATAAATATAATGGAAAAAAATCCCAGAGAGCACACCAGCCAGGAAGGCTTGCACACATCTAACGCAATTCCTCAAAATGTTTCACTTTTTCCCCTCAGAAAATATGAGGCAAGTGGCACACAGACAGGCCTCATCCTCAGCTTTCACTTTAGAAAGAATTACCCTATTTTACTCAAGGGGAGAAAAAAAAAAACAACAAACCCAAACAGGAAAAAACAGCTCTACTACCCTCTCCCATGCCTCTCAAAAAGCTTGTTTCCAAATATTCGCGATGCTGAAAAGTGTGCCGAAGCGCTCCGGTCCCCAAGGCAGGCGCACAAGGGCTGCGTTTATTGCCACGTGCAACTCCAGCATCAACCACAATGCCCTGGACTCGCAAAATGGTGAAGAAATCACACCCTGATGCAAAACCACAGAAAATATTTTTCAACGAGATCCTTGTTAAAAAAGGTTAAGATAGATCTGTATGCCGACTGCGGCTTAGTCTAATTTCTAGGCTATAAATTGCACCAACAAAACCTGCTCATGAGCTCTGAAAAATGAGGAACGTACAGTTCGACTACTCACGTCGGAGAGCTGAAGAATTAACCTCCCTATGGTAACTCCTCGTGATCCGCAGCCCTTTCCAGGTAATAACCTGCTGTCCTTGGGTCAAACGGCTCCGAAGTGAAGAGCCCGCAGCTTTCCCTCCCCCTCAACCAGAAAAGAAACGTGAGTTGCTCGTAAACGGGTACGGAGCAGATATTGTTGTATTAATGCCCTGTATTCCCAGTTTCGGAGACCACCCTTTGAAGATGGAAGTTATTTAACATTCTCCCGGTTTAAAATATGAGCAATCAAAAGGCGCTAGGCTTACACGCTGTGCTTTCCCATTTCCCACTACTTCTCTTGCCTGACAAGGTATTCTTCAAATTGAAAAGAGGGCTCCTGAAAGCCCGGCTTCGGAAAACTGTAAATGAGTTCAGGCTTCAGCCCACTGAATGCAATTTCATACTCCTGACTGAATACAAATAATGCATTTTATTTTGTATCAATTACCACGCCTGAGAACAGACGACCACTGCTGGCGCTATTAAATATATAAAAAAAAAAAAAGGCAAGGAAAAAGGCATGCCAAATTAAAAAAGCAAGCGCCTCATTACTCCACATCTAAACCAGCTTTGACAGAGGCACTGGAACTCATAAGACGCGTTTCACTGGGTTGGGATGGGCTGTTTTGCAGCCATCCCGCGCATTCAATGTCAGCCATTAGTTCTTCCCAATCGGGCATCAATGTTCAACGCACACCCGAAAAAATATATAATACTAGTAATAATAATAACAATCTGCAGTCTCTCCGAGCTTCAATACTTGAAGTATGAGTCAAAGAAGCAGTTTCACTTTTCACTCGGGAAGCTGACAAGCATGACTAGAGGGGGAATAAAATAACATTCAGTTCGCATAAATATCAAGCGGGCTGCTTGAGACTGATGGGCCAGGAATGTATTCTTAGCCATCATTCTGGCAGACAGGCCCAAGGACACTCATAACTTATTTTACAATCATTTAGTTTCAGCTCAAGTGGAAAACGTGACAACTTATCTCTGCTGACAAGATGCCATATCGAACCTTACAATTAACTCTCCCACGATTATCTGCCCAGCCCATCATTAGCTTTGCAGTTTTTGATTGACGGTACAGGCAGCTTTCCTTGATGATGGTCATCATTTGCAGGGTGTATATCTATATTATACAACATTAAGGACGAAACTCTCCCCTTGCCATGCAGTCAGGGCTGTCCTGACCAGTGCATCCTCTGTTCTGCAACTGCTGGGCCACGTTTCTACGTGATGTACAGCAATACGCTGCTGAAAAATGTCATCTTCTCCTCCAAAACAGAGCATCACTGTGCTCCAGCCTATGCCTGCTGCTGACTGCAATGTACAGGAGCGAGCTAGAGATGCCCATGCCCTCTCCCCGCAAACAGTCAGCCTGACTCCCTGGCCTCTCTCCCCAGAGTCATTATTAACTCCACTCAGCTGTGAGTGAGAGCTGACACAAGCCATGTCCTTGCAGTTTACCTCTGCATGCTCACCGTGCGTTAAGGAAGATGCGGTGAACTTCACATGCATGTTTGGATGCTTTCCGTACCGATGAGAACACGTGTTTCTCATTGAAAGCTGAGTTTCTAGTTTTGCAGGGTCGTGAAATAATGCCAAGCTTATACCAAGGGACAGAGGAACTTCTATGCAAACCAGTATGACACCGTACAGGCACCCATTCCAGAAAAAGTAGTAAAACAGTCAATTCAGAGCATATTGAGGGTAAGTTTACACTTATGCAAGTTATTTGAGACCATTTTAAAATACGCAGTAGCTCACTCCATGCTCAGGAGCAACAAGAGATCCTTGGTAACCAAACCCCTTAAGTTATCAAGAGATGGGATATTAAAAGAACCCACAATCACCGTGCTGTTAGAGCAGTGATATTTCTCTGTAGGTGCATGACACACAGGGTAAGACAAAGGTTCTGCTTGTTCAAGCCTGACCCTCGTTTGCTAGAAATTACAAAACAAAAAAAAAGCCAATGCACCTTTTATTCCAGAAAGTAAGTCCCCTATCTGCCTCTCCCCTAGATGCATTTTGTAATTACAGTCACAATAGAAATTCCTTACAATTATGACAAATTCTGGCAGTAGAAATGAGCGGCAGAAAGGAAGAAGTATGTTGTCTACAACTACAACCCCGAATTATGAGACGGAACATTAAATGAAAAAAGAAACCAACCAATCCTTCTCAGAAGAGTCTCAAGGGCTGTGCTGTTGTACTGCGCTTTACTTGCCATTTGAAACACTTATGTTTGATATCCTCTCACAGTATTATATGATGTTTGTAAAACCTAACATCCTGCACAAGTCCCACTTCTTAACTCTTTATAGGTTTATTATTTGGAAGCTGCATGCGCTCCAGAAATGGATCTCAAAGACGACTCCATCTGTGCCCTCTAAGGACATCATGAGAGCCCTCCTGGATTTGAAAAGGGTAAGAAATCCAATTC